TCACGTGCTGTTTTTCCCAACCTCCTTGATGGTTAGAGTATTCATGCATGGCAAAACAATCAAGGGCTATCTATATGTTAAATGGTGGGATTCCTTCATGGAGGACTTTACAGAAACTCGCTCGAATTCAAGTTACTCATGGGAAAAGCACAAAAAGCACCCATGCAGCTCGTTCACCTGACTTCGAACTGGGAATGAACAGCTAGTACTCTGCGGTCTTAACCACTCAGGCCACCGATGAGCCGAGCTGTTTGATCATAAGAAGGATATTTTTTATTTTTATAAAATGTACCATTAGTCTATTTTATTGGTATTTTAAAATCGTAATCTCGAAAACGAGTTTCGAGACTAATTTACTATCATGAATCAATTGCAACACGTGGTCATGGTGTACTACCACTTGCACCACGAGAGCACACATGAAGAGAAAGCCAATAATTTCTTATATTCTCCTTCACTTGAAATACGTTTGGGGAAAAGAGACGAGACCCAGTACCACATCCAGATAATAAAAAGTTATCGTTCGCTGCATTTTAGTCAAGTCTCTAGAGACATTGAAGGTTTTCTCTCCTCCCTCAAGAAACATGAAAATGAGTTAACACTTGTCAGGAATCGAACCCCGTGCCTCCCAATGCTAATCGGACATGCGACCAAAATCTGACCAGTTAATTACACCACGAACCAGTGCGACCAGTTAATGCGAACCAGTTAATTACACCACGAAGGAAGGCGATGTGTTTTTACAGAGGATTTGGGATTTTAAAAAACCGGTATTCCAATGGTCCGAAGGTCCGTGTTTCGATTCCCGGCGAAGGCCGGGTTTTCAGTTACTGTGTTTTCAGTTACTGTAATATCAAAATACAGGATTCAGCTTATTGAAAATTTCTTGACAATCGCTTATGAATAAAAACGTCATCCTGATCTGCAGATCATGCGTTACAGTCCAGGAATGATAGTGAACATTTTGATATCTAAAATAAATATTATATAAAATAGTGAAAAAATTTTTTATGATCACTTTTGTTTGCATATCTTTTGTGTTAGTCAGACAACATATACATTTAAGCAATAATTGTTTTTTTATAAAAACATACGTTTTGCATGTATCATGTTCATTACTGAGTATATTCAGCTACTAATTAACTTTAAGAACGTAAATGGTACTCGCCTGCAATAATAATGAATATAGTGTAAGGTATAAAGAACACAGAGGCTTTTGAAATATGTGCCCTAAAGAATTATTACTTTCCTAGTAGACTCCTGTCTATTTTAACCAAGATAGGAGACCCAAAGAAATTTGATAATCAGATTTAAAAAAAACTAATAGACTTCATTATATGTATTTAAATATCCTGTGAAGCAAAGATAATTCTTAAAGGAGGGGGAACTTAATAATGTAATGCAAGGATCCCCAAACATTTTAGCCCGCGGGCCGTATTGGCTCTTTCACGAAGCTTTGAAGACCCAATTCATCATACTGTGGTGATATAATTATGGTGAATAGCATGCACATGTTTTTAAACAAGATTTTTGCGATTGGATCAGTATTGATGTAATAAATAATACGAAGAGATTTGTTTTTAAGACTCATGAAGTTTCATCTACCAAAAATTTCTTAAAACTGTTTAAACCTTTACTAATATTCTTGTCCGCGAATATCACAGATTTCTTCGTTTTTCAATGTAACGTTCCTTTTAAATGGTTTTACCTTCCCCTTGTAAAAATCAATTAACACATTTTGTTTACGTTTTTGTCAGTGCAAATTTTCGGTAGTAGGTATTTCATATTTTGAGCAAGTTTTATGTGGGAGAGAAACTTCAAAATTAAAATAAGTCATAAAATATGCAGAAAAAAATTAAGATGAAAGCAAAATCGCTCCTGGAAATTACTATGAACAAACCTAGAATACGAATAGGAAATTAGATAAAGATTGTAGATACATTAGGTATTTTTTGGAAGAAGGCAAGACGAAAAATGAGCAAACGCCTTCGCCGGGAATCGAAACACGGACCATTGGAATACCCCTTTACTACACTAGGAAGTCAGGAGAAATACCTTATAAGATAACATGGAAATCTTTATTCTCGTAAGTTAAACAATAAGAAATTTTTAATAGAGTGTTACTGTATTTTACTCATTATAAATTTTGAAACTGCATAATGCTTATGATATGCTTTATAAAGAACATGCATGATAGCCAATGTATTTATAGATTGATGGATGTAAAAGCAGTTAATGTGTGTGTTACAGAGTTTATTTTAAATATTATTTAAAAAACGTTTGGCGGTCATGCGCTGATAGCGCTCTGATGGTCTCTGATAGCGCTGGCAGGCAGGATCCAGTCCGCGGGTCGTGGTTTAGAGACCCCTGATGTAATAGACTGTGGCAAAGCACGCGATGGTTTTCAGCCTAAGGAAAAGGATGCCTTCATAGAAGACTTATGAAGGAAAATTGCTCGTATTCACTTCACATATGCAAAAAAACCACTGAGAGCTAGCCTGTTCGCTGGTGTTTGAGGCCGAGTCTAACTACTTGTATTCAGGATTTTACCGTTCAAGCGCTGTGGATCAACCTTGATAATGTATTTTCAGATCAACCTTGATAATGTATTTTCAGATGTACCAGTCAGTTATTTATTTCATTACCATATGAGCCGTTACTATGAACATTTTGTTTGCTTGTTTTATGTTTTTCCGAAATGAATATATTTTGCCGCCATATACAGATAGGATAAAATATTTGGAATGAAAAAATCTGCCAAACTCAGTATCTGAGAGTAGCAATGCAGATGCTTTCTAAAAGATATGTATTATTGCATCAACTCATAACAAAATTTTAACAATGGCCTTATGGTGAGATTGTAACTTTAAACGGCTGTCGAGAAACTGCTCACTCTTATCTCCAGTTTCTTCTTTTTCTTCAAAGATTTTCGGAGTATAAATAATATTTTGAATGAATTCATGTATGAATGATAGTCCAAATTACCCTGAATTACTTTTGAAATGATAATCATCTCTTTCTGCAACTGTTGTCTTCCTTTTTTTTTTTTTTTTTTAGCCTATAATTGCCTTAAGAGCTATTCTATAATGCCCGGTACTCTGCAAATTAAACTTAAGGCTGTGCGCCAGCCAGATCATACTAGAGATGATGAAGTACTTTTTGAACTTACTATAATCTGCTGTAGGGTGTATGATTTATCATCATAATTAAAGCTCATGCTGCCCATTAATCATCTGTACTTTTGAGTACAACTTCCGGATCAGGAAGTTAACTTTTAAACATTTAAGCCTACGTACAGTTTACAGATATTTTCAATGAGCCGTGTTTTATTTTATAAGGCAAATAAATATTTATTATGTTAGAAATGTGTAAGGATTATTTAAATTTTAGAAATGTAATACTGATTTAAAGAAGCAAGTCATTGCGGCCAGATTATTATTTTCGCTGTTCGTAGCATCACCTTATTGGAACATGAAAATAATTCAGTCTCTTAACTTCCTTCAAAAGCATTAAAGTGTATCTAATTTTTCCTCTTAATTTTTTTAGATAATTAAATGCATTTTAAATTTTCGAAATGTAATTTTTTTATTTTATATTATGAGATCTCAGCGGTTAATTTATCAAAACAGATTTACTGGCAGTCATGGTAATACTTTCATCTCCTGGTGTATTCATGCAGCCATTGAGTTGTTTATTGATTATGAAACCATTTTTAGGTTTTAGAATTTTCATGCTGAATATTTTAAATTTAAATTTTAGATTTCTCTTTACTGACAAGTATCCTGATGGTATTTTAGAAACCTATTATAAAGTACCATAGTTGTGCTCCATATTATAAAATACTGGAATAGACAGAATTTTATAGACAGATACTTTTGTTATAAGTCAGAGAACGCATGACTTATAATAAAAGACATGACTTATATAATATATAAATGACTTTATAAATTAGTATATTTATGATCTACTTTTACGTGTACCATTTGCTTAAATTGTGGGTTTTTTAAAAAGTTAGATAAATAAAATATATTATGAAGGTTTGATGGATTTGTATACTTTTGGGAGACCAACAGTGAAAATTATAACATATAGTTTCCTCTGTGTACTTAAGATTTGGTTTTTAAATATTAAATTAAAATTTTTAATGGACTAGAGTTAACAAATTGTTCTAAATTTAGTAAATAGTGGTGTAAATTTTTCAGGCATCAATATCTGAACAATAATCCTAAGCGTGCAGTCATAAAGTTATTTAAAATTGGTGTTATTTTATTTGTAATTAAGTTAGAACCAAGCCGATAAATGAGAAAGTAGCGTCCAGAAAGAGAGAAGGAGCGGTCTTCCTTCTCCTACGAGCAAAGAGGACAGGAACGGAAACTTTCATTTTCAAGAAACTAACTATTTTGCGAAAATTTTGCAGAATATTTTTGCTCTCCTTCCCTAACTCTTCGAAATCAACAGTGTTTCTAGGAGGTTATATCTTGCTTACTCTTATATATACATATATATATATATATATATATAATTTTTTTTTCATATAAATTTCCGTCAGTTGGCTACAGATTCAATGCTTGAACAATCACCAAAGCGCTGTAACGCCAACTTTGGCAATGGATTTCCTTGAACTTCATCGGCAATTGTTTATTGATGGGTTTGAAAGGAAAGGCGGGGAAGGAGTTAGTAATTTTGAAGCTACGTGTAGAAATATGTGATCAAAAAAGAGACTGTAATTGATACCACGTGTACATGATTGCCTTTACGTTTGGCTTCACTAGCGCACGAAAAGATCGGAAAAATTATCAAAATATACCTGATATTTTTTCCTCAGAATAAGCAGCATACTCCTCATAAAAGCATACTCATAAAAAGAAGTAAACGATCCAATTCTTTTAACTTTGACCTTGACGGAATGGAGGTAAGGGAGGAGAGTGGGGGGGGGGAGTCCACCGAAAGAAGAGAGAAGCAGACGCACGAGAAGAGAGTTCCGCAAACCGCTGCGCGCATGCTCCCGCGCCGGACACAGTAAGACAGTCGTGTGTGTTTTTCTTTTTCCCGCGCAAGAAATCAGTCAGATACTGGATTGCTGTCGTTCATTCGAAATGAATAGCGCACCGTTCTGTTTTTTTGAATTGTCTTCGTTTGGTGACGGCTTGCCGAGGGTTAAAAAAGGATATATCTGCACATGGATAATGGTGTCGAGAGATGAAGAGGAATGATGAGTAGAGGAACGGCAGTTGCGATGCTGATATTCTGACCCTGTGCAAACGTGGGTGCGAGGGATGTTCTGCGAAAACTGCTCTGTAGCTCCGGCGCGGATATTTGAGAGAACTGTTTGCTGTTCACAGATCCTGAGGCATATGCTTACATTAACAATCATTCATTAATTATTGTGCCTCTTCTTTCATTTGCCTGAACGTTGCTTTTATTAACGTGAATATTCAACAACTTGTAACTGCTCTGAGTAGCAAAATTAATTGTTTTCAGTTTTGTTTCCATCTTTTATCATATTCCAAAAGAAAAAAAAAAAAAAAAAAAACATTGTAATCACAGTGATCCTTTGTATAATTATTTTTAGTTATTAAAACAGGGAGGAAATTTGAAATCCAAGCTTTAATTTTTGGCATCTTATTACGAAGAAAAGAAATTTTGGTTTAAACAACCGTAGAGAATCTCTTGTTAATTTAATTTACTGCCCATTAATATTTTTGTTTTTGTATCGGCTGGATTCCTTTCTCCTATGTAATAAGATTTGCGAGAGTAAAATATCGCTAAAGATAATAACTTGATGAAAAATCTTTTGTTTTGAATCTTTTAATATATCTTTTGTTTTGAATCTTTTAATATTGCTGTGATTTCGTATTCGATAAGAAAAGTGCTTTTTAGGTATTGTTCGTCCTAATAAAACCATGAACATAATATTCTGTGGAATGAACATGAATAATTTAAACAAGTATAGTACAAAAGCTACGAGTTTTAAACATACTGTGCCTTCTGAGAAGGATAACTAAGTCTCAAAATCGATCGTCAGATGTTACATCACTTTCTAGTCTAAAACTGCTGAACTTGGATGTAAATTATGGCAGATATGTACAAAATTGATCTGCAGAATAATTTCGTGTAAAGACTCATTAGCATTTTTGTAAATTTTTACGCCTTTATAAACTTGGAGTCATGGGATGTTTCAAGCGAAAGAAATCAACAGGTCGAGCGTATGTACCTTTGAATTCTACACGAGATGCTTCTCCGAACTGTCGGTGCTCATGTCACAGAAGAAAGGTGAGTTTAGTAGTGTTTTTTTGCCTCCCCTCTTTAATATGATATTTGTTGTGAGCTTGGAGAAAACTTGCGAATGATATTTTTTTAATGTAGTAACATTTATTTTTAACGTTAAAAAGCGGAAAGTAATATTCTATTGAATAAGTTGACATCGTGAGGGAAATTGTTTTTTTCATTTATAGACCATGGAATATAAGTATGTGAAATTCTGACTCCTTAATCATAGGCGACGTATCGCTCCATCCGAAATCTTCCAATAAGGTCTTTTAATTAGATCTTCAGCGTAACAGCTCGTGTAGTAAAGAAAGGTTGTGTTATTTGTGGGATTAACACAAAACAAACTTTAAACTCAAGTATATTAGATTATAAAATGTACAAGACAAAGTCGGCCTGTAAATTTTGGCTCAGACCCTCTACTCGCGCGGACAAGCACGGCTGGCAAAGGCAAAGCAGTTTCAACTATTTTAAAAGCTAGATGAAAATGATAGTGAGACAGCCAAGTTCTCTCTCCTAACTTTCTCTGTTCTTTTACACGTTATAATTTGCATCCTGGTTGGAAACAACGAAAGTAGAAGTGAGAGTACAGCAAAATAATAAGATGAAGTATTAATAAACGTAAAGCAATGCGGAGTAATTAGTTAAGATTAATATTGTGTAAAAGTGTTAACTAAGTATTAATGTCGTTTGATTATATAAACTTTTTTTAATGCATAGGAACCAAATCATAAATTTTGAAGGGAATTTTGTATGCGAGATAAGAAAATTTTGCATTCAAATTTAAGAATTTTTATATTCATTTTTAATTATAAAACGTTTCGTTATGTTTAATACATATGTTGATTTTATTATATTATTTATTAGATTTAATACACGTGTTTATTTTTTATACTTCTTGTATGATTTAGTCCATAGAAGAAGAGAATTTTCTTTGGAATTGATGCTAATATTTTACCAGATTATTAAGAGTACGCCCTCAGTGATTTAATGATTGAATAAAACCACTGAATATTTATACATTCTAAAGAGCTTGGAAAATGACCTGTGCGGAAAATAATTTTCGGAAGAGCATTGAGTGCACTATGCCGCTAAGTAAACTGCTTGCTTCTCTAAAACGATTAAACTGAATAATAGAAGGAATAAATACCGAAGAAAACGATGCTACGGTTAGATACGATTTCATGTAGAAATCTGCCTTAAATTCACATTGGTTATATAGCGTCGACTATTTATCTTCTTAAAGAGAAGGAACCGATAGAATTTTTTTGTGATCTAAGATTGATATTTGAAACTTAGATTCTTGATATTTTAAATTCATCTTATTTACAATCACCCTTAACTGATATTTGATCAAATGTTCTTCAAAGATCTACGATGTTTGATCAATCTAAAATTGATATTTTGTTTGAGTTTTTTGGTCAAATGAGTATATGTAAAGAACGCTCAACTTTTTAGCTGCTCCATCCTGAGACAAATTACGTTCGTTTTAAGTGCACGAATGCGTCCTGGTTTTTGTAAAACTGCGTGTGATTTTGGATTTTACGCACACGCAGATGTAAATTTGTGACAGGTATGTATGTATTCCTTCTTGATGACATTGTACATATTTAGTCTCGAATGAAGATTGTCGCGCTGGTAACTTCTATACCGCACTGTTACACGAAAAATTTGGGAGGGGGGAGGTTACTTATCGTTTAAACTTTGGTAGGATTCGGGTTCCCTCTTTGCTGGCAGTATGTGTATTTTCATTTAAACATGACCAAAGATTATTCAAGAAATCCTTCTGCGAAGGCCTTTTTTTCATACGGCACTACACCTCTTTTTTCGAATGAATTAATTATAAACGTAAAAACTGAAGCAAAAGCACTTATTATAGATTTTTGTGTAACGATGTAGTTTTATTATTCAGTACAATACTGCATTAGGATAATTTATGTTCGCGTTCGAAAATGTGCTATTTCATGTACAGTGTGCATTAAAAAAATCACTATTAAACAGATAGCTGTTGGGTAAATTGCGTATTTCGAATACTTATCTTACAGCTCAAGCGCTAATATTTTGTATTATGGCCCAGTGAATATGACATTAAATTAGTCTCTAAAGAAAAGCAACGAAGTAAAGAACAATCAAAATAATGTTCATAATTTTTTACTGTTTTTCTGCTCAATAAAAATTTCTCGGTATATAAGTGATGTAAATTATAAGTGTAAAATGAGGCAGGAATGTAACGAGTTAAAGAAGGGAAAAAAATCACGAAACTTGAATGTGTATTTGATTGTCTTTTGTATTACACTCACTGCATGAACGAATAACGTAACCAAATGATTGTTTGATGATTTAGTTGTTTTTTCGATGTAGAATAAAATTTGATTTAAATTAGTATCACAGAGCCGATGAATAAAAGTCATATAAAAAGTATATGGCTTGTTAAAATCATTAAGTAACACAGGTTTATTTACCGGTCATAACTTGTTTTGTAATTGAACTTGAAAATTTTGGAAATATAAAGGAAAAAAATGGGTAGGAAGAGAATCCAGCCGAAATGATGTTTTATTGCAGTTATGTACCTGTATGTGCAGCCACTGCATATTTTTAATGGATACACATAAATGAGAATTATATATATAATTATTACATTAATGGGAAATGTATGCATTATAATACTGATTTTTTTAATTTCGATTAATCTAGTTACGTATGTTCTACGGGAAACTGTGCATGCAATCCTCTCGCTGTTTTCCTTCGACAGCTTTGGTAATGGACGCGCATACGGCCCATACAAAGTCAGCGACGGTTTAAAAATTGCCGATAGAGCATTTTGATGTATTAAGCAACAGAAAGACGCTATATATGCTAAATATCTTGATGCAACAATTTGAGAAACGCTGATGCAAAAGAAGCGAGGAACTAGCACACTCGACGTGTAATCGAGAAGTCCAGGTTCGAGACCCGGAGAGAACACTGCTCATTTTTCATGTACTCCTGCTTCAAAGTAAATTTAATGAATCTAAAAATGGCTCCCAAACAAAAAGGTGGTGCACAATAACTCGGCACCAGCAGGATTTGGCGATTGGGTCCCATAATCCCTAATCGCCCTTTAAAAGGGGTATTTTCTCCCTCCTTTCCGCATGCCTTCGTGGTGTAAATTGGCAGCATATTGACGCGTACTCGAAAGGTGTAGGTTCGAGTTTCGGTGAAGGCACTGCTTATTTTTGATGTACTCTTCAAAATAAACTAATAACTCTGCAAACATATGTCAGCTGTAGTCCCAGGAATGCGTCGGGCATAATGTGTCGAAAAATGTTAATAAGTGATAATCCCTGAACCGACTAAGTGATACAGAAGTAATTTAACACTGGATCGGAGCTGTACTTTTATCCATGAAGAACTGCTTGTGAAAACGTTTGTTCGTTGTTGGGTCCTTTCATACATTAACAAAGTACCAAAACGCAGAGCGTATCAGAATCATTAAAGAAACCCTATAATATAATTGCTTAGTGATACTGGATATCGAATTATTTCTAAAATATTAACTGCTGACGAGATGCACATACCATTTTTTGGTGTTACAAAACTTCAAAAACGTAAAGTATAGTTCATTGAAGAATACCTTAAATAGCAATGGTGAAAAGACAACAAGAATAGAAAAAAGTAATGTATGCTGTTTTCTTCAGGAGTACAAGACTAATAAAAGCCATCAAATTAAGGGGACTGTTTCACCACGATCCCATACAAATTCTTCTAGAAGGGAAAATTAGGGAAAGCATGATAATACATCTTTTCATTCAACAAAATTGACGTATAAATTTCTTACATTTAAGTGATGGAATATTCGTCCTATTTTCCCGATCTTGCTGTGTGTGATTTTTTTGCTATTTTTTAATCTATAATAGGTGGCTGTTGTTTCCATTCCGAAGATGAGATTGATGTCTCTGTATTCATCAATTCCCAAAAAAGGAAGACTTGAAGTATTTTATCTTTGGAAAATTCGCCAACTAAAGTGCATTAATGTTGGAGGGAGCTACTTTGAACACTCCCAAGATTAACTGTTTAGCTTATAAGGTATTTCTCCCGCCTTCTTGGCGTGCCATCGTGGTGTGGTGGTCTGCACGCTCAGCGCGTTATTGAGAGGTCCGTGGTTCCATTCTCGTCGAAGGCGTTGCATATTTTTCATCTCTCCTGCTTCCGAAATAAACCTAATGACTCTACAAGTTGTATGTAAAAAATTTCAGAGTGACCCTCGTATATCTGACTGGTAGTTACGTCTTCTCTGAGATGAGGGTGTTCGAAACCATATTCTTGTTTATAGTATTCTTGTACAAGGTTTTGCAAGAAAATTACATCACTAAATAATATATTTGAATTCTTACTCTTAGATTTATTCCAGTTAAAGAAGTGAACCACATAAAGTAGACTTTCTGATTGCAACAGTTTTGATCACTAAGTCCCTTTTAGTGTAAATGCACAAAGTAAAAAATTTTGCACATTCCCTGCCCCCCCCCCACAAAAAAGAAAGAAATATCGTAGTTAGTAAACCCCTTCTTACATTATGAATATTTCTGTGTGTATATAGTATTTATATATAAGCCAGTTCTGTAACTTACAGAAGTAAAATTTGCTCCAAGAAAATAATACTAGTGCACATGCTCCACAAGATTTATCTTAGAAGTTTAGTGATTTAAACTTTATATTCCCTGTAGGAGACAGAGAAAAACATGAATTTATCGCCGTTTGTTCTTCAAAACTTTCTAAAAATTGATTTTTGTGAGCTAGAATTTCACGAATCTTAAGGAATCTGAAACTCGTACATGATGTATCTTTTCGTTTTATGTAATGCGGTTTTCAGAAATCCGCATTAGAAAACTGAACTTGCATAGCAGTCTTATAGTCATTTATAAGTGCTGATTTATATATGACTCCCAAAACCCTGATATAATGATGGCTCGGGAAATTTTGATAGTATGAAATCCGTATGTTTGATTAATTGAGTTGCGAAAAATGTT